ACTAAAGTAGTCTGTGCTTATTTTATGAATTCACCTAGCTTAGACCTTTGCAGATATTTGTACAACCCAGTTCCTACTATGGCTTTTTACTAGTTTTCTGTATTCTATCTTCTTAGATATTTTACAAGGCAAATCCTCCTAATCTAGTTAGCTGCTAAGCCAAGTTGGTATTACTAATTCTCTTTGTGAAACAGATTTATGTATACCTAACTTGATCTATATCTTTTGATAATAGTTTCTTATTTGGATCAAGTGTTAGCTAGTGTGACTGTCAAAAAGCATACTACTTCACTAACTTAGGATTTCTATTATGCAGGTCGCCTGCTCATAGATCCTATTAAGATTTATTTATGTAATATTATACTCTCTAAATATTTTGTCACATTTCTAATATTTGAATGATATTGATACAATATGATTTACAAAGTTATAATCTCAGAAACGAACAGAGTTTACTATAAGTTGGGTACAAAGATCTGAGTAATTATTGATAGTTTATTATCTGGATCAAGTATTAGCTAGTGTAACTGTTAAAAGCTATACTACTTCACAAACTCAGAATTTCTACTATGTAGATCTCCTACTCATAGATCCTATCAAGATTTATTTATATAATATTATGCTCTCTGAACATTTTATCATACTTTCAATATCTAAATAATATTGATACAATGTGATTTACAAGATTATAACCTCAGAAATGAACAGAGTTTACTGTAAGTTAAGTACAAAGGTCTGAGTAATTATTTAAATTTGTCGACAGTTAGATTTGAACCCCAGACTTCTTGTATAGTAGTCTAGTAATCTAACTACTACACTAAGATCACTAGATATATATACTTTTTTTTTATTATATTATTATACTAATTTATCATTAATTTTTTTTTTTTTTATTATATGCTAATTCATTGCTTAATTCTCTTTTTTTTTATTAATCACATATAACTAAATCTTTATTCTGATATAAATATCTACTGTAATATCTATTGCTATATTTATCTCTACTTTTTTTATAGCAGTATTAGTTATTATTACAATCAGATTTACAACTATATATTGTATAAAAAGAACCTATACTTTGAAGCTATACTGCTTCTTTAATAGTTATTTTATAAAATAGAATAGTATTAAGTTTAGAAAGGTTAGTAGTATCTAAAAGTTCTAGTTCACTAGCAGAATAAAAAATATTAATAATATCAAATTTAAACTCTAACTAGTATTTGTTATTTTCAGTTTTATTAAATATTTTGTATTAAGATTTGGCTGATCAATACTAAATCTATCTATATTTAGGATAGCTACTCATATAAACTGCTAATTTTATATTCTGATTTTTTTTTCTGTTCTTAGATATTTGATAGCCTATTTTTTTAATATAGGCCTTAAGATTTTGACATATTGATTGATAAAAAATTTCATATCTAGAAATAGTATTTGTTATATCAAAAAATTAAGTAATAGTATTATTAGTAATAATAGTACTAGTAGTAGTAGTATTAGTAGTAGTAGCATTAGTAGTAGTATCAGTAGTAATAGTATTATTAGAAATATTACTATTTTCTTATATATAAAGTTAGTATAATTATTGTTAAAAGGTTTAGTGATCTAGTGTAGTGAATAGGTTGTCGAACTGCTATATAATAGGTTTGGGGTTCAAATCCTTCTGTTAACACTTTGAATAATTACTCAAACCTTATATCCAACTTATAGTAAACTCTGTCTGTTTTTAGGGTTGTAACCCTGTAAATCATGTTGTACTAATATTGTCCAGATATTGAAAGTATGACAGAATGTTGAAGTTGCATTACATGAATAAATCAAGATAGGATCTATAGACAGAGGATCTGTATAGTAGAAATCCTGAGTTAGGTGAAGTAGTATAGATTTCAATAGTCATACTAGTTAACACTTGATCTAGTAAAGATTTCTGAGTATGAAGATGTAGATCAAGTAGATGTGAGTAAGTCTGTGATATTAGGTGTTATAGCAATACCAACTTGGCTTGGTAGCTAACTAAATTAGGAGGATCTTCCTCATGAAACATTCAGAAAGACACAGAAGTCTAAACTGGTGAAGGGCCATAGCTAGAACTGGGTTTGTACAAATATCTAATAAGGATATATGCAAGCTAGAATGAGAATATAGTGTAGCATAGTTGGTTATTGTGACACCTATCTGTTAGGGGGCGTTGAAGTAGGACTTATTCAGATAAGACCTGAGTTCATAATAATAAAGTTTGCGACTAGTGTCAGCTTAGATGCTTCCCAATATAGAGTAGTACAGGGTTAGAGCTAACTATAAGAGTAATATTTTTGATAAGTAGAATAGAGCCAGAGAGTTTAAATAGAGAATCTTCTAAGAGATTTCAGATATAGCAGCTAGTGTAGAACTTTCGAGTAGACTACTTAAAATAGATAACCTAAAATTGTACATGTGGCTAGTTATACTCTCACAATATGTATCACTTCTGAAATTTATGAAATTAATAAAGTTAGCTGATAGCATTTGTATAAAGTAAAAAAAAAAAAAAAAAAAAAAAAAACTTGATAATATCTATTATAATAAACTCACAGAATACTAAGAACAATTAGCATATTATTTAGCATATTAAATCTATAAAACATATTTGAATACTCAATTTAATTCAATATTGCATGAGTTAGACAACTATAGAGCTATTATTGTAGTTGATTATAAAATATGAATTTTGCTTGCAACAACATAAGAGACAAAGAATAAATTTTTTAAAAAGTATGAGTAGACACTTCATACAATTTTAGTATTCCAAAAAGATAAAAATAATAATGAAAAATTAGATATTCAGACCTATAATCATTGGAGTTCTGATTCCAAACAAGATGCTTAGTTCACTGCATCATGTTTTAAAGCAGTATTCATGACAATAGACTCCAGACTACAATAGATTAAAATTATTTTAGATAATGGAGAGCACTATCATAACTCAGAGCTAATAGCAATTATTAGTTTTTAGTATAATTGGTATAATATAAAAGTATGCGAATAGGTTTTTTTTGAACCAGAAGAAGCAAAAACTACTATTAACTCTCACTATACAATAGTAAGTAGATTTGAATTAGATTCAATTTGTTTATGTTCTACTAATAAATTCAATATTAATAATAGGTTGTATATATAATTAAAAGATATATCAGAATCAAATATGATCTTACTGAAGAATTAAGGGTAGGGTGACAACATTTCCAAATTCATATAAAATCGATTGTAGATCAACATTGTGTAACAAAATCATATGAATACATGTAAACATCATATGATTTGACCAATCAGAATTAGCAATTCTTTGTACTACCTAAGAAAAACATATAGCGACCTCAGTAAATTTAGTTATATATAAAGTTAATTTTTTTTGAACCAATTTACATTCTATAATTTTACTATCAAAAATAAACTGTTTTAAACTATATACTATAAAATTTTAATAACGATTGACCTAAACGTTAAAAAGTTTTATTAGCAACATATTTTTATTTACTATGTACTACTACAGTGATCATATGAAAAATGATCTACGTTCACCCTACCCTTAAATATTGAAACAGCACTTCAAGATTTGAATAGAATGTCTATATCATATATAGAGCCAAATTATGATAAAATAGCAGAGTTATCAGTAAGTTAAGACAATATAAAAAAAAATTCAAAATCATCTAAGTAAGTTTAAATATAAAAATTATACTTCTAACATTTTCTATTTCTATATAATATAAGAGTTAGTCACTAATTGAAATCAGTTTTAGCAAAAAAAAATTCAAGACTATATTAGGTATTTCAAAATAGTTAGAGTAGTTCTGGCCTGTAACAGATGAATTTGTAGGATATATTCATGCTTGTTCTCTTCCTAATATAGGTGTATGAACTAAATTCTAGTCTAAACAGATCATTACCTTTTATAACAAACCAACTCCTATATTTTCTGAGCTATCTAAATTCAAAACTACATAGTTAATATTAGCTTCTAGAAAAACAAGTAAAAACAAAAAATACTCATTTTTATTGTTAATTATTAAAATAAAATAAAATAAAATTTTATTCTGTTATATAGACACAAATAGCAATAAAACAGACAACAAATCAGGTAATATGAGCATCTAGTTGACTAAAACTAGCAGTCAACTTCTCAATAATAATAAATATATCTAACAGACTATAATATCTATAAGGTTGAAGATTATACAGTATAATATTTATTATAATATTATTATACTATATCTTCACATACTATATAAAAGTGATATAATAAATATTATACAGTATAATTCCTAACCTTAGTTGTATAAAATAAGATCATAGTATATATGACCAAGTTATATATAACCAAGAGTCTGCAACTTAAATAATATCTTATTTAAACTAAAATGACTATTGCATTAGGAATCTCTATCAAACAGAGAAGTATAATGTAATATATAATTTGAAAATCGTGAAGAATTTGCATGATTTGATTATATACCTCTATATAATAATCATAAATATTCTTTACAATTTTTATATATAGGTATTTTGATGAAGTCAGTATCGATATCAACAAATCATTTTAGCTAGATATTATTTTTACAATACCAAATTAGGTAACTCTTAACACATATAGCTTCACAATAACCACTCTACAAATTGAATGATATTTCTTTTTAGTTAGCACTAATAAATCAGATAAAGCATCAGATTTTATGAGAAGTAATTATAAAATAAACATACTATACATACAGTATCTAGAGAGGTTTCATAAATTATAATTTCTAGCGTAACTTATTATTTTGTTTGTAATAATAATTTTACATTTATTCTCATTCTCCACTCACTTATTTACTATATAATTTGAAAGATACAAAGTAATTTTTTTTTATTATATTTAATATTACAATCTCTCTGTTTAATATTAATTTTCACACACTAAAAAACTTGTTTATAGTATTGATCACGAATTTCTTTTTGATACAAAGTGGACCCTAAAAGAGAATATGAAGCTTAGTAATAAAGGTATGAGAAAACGTATAAAAAAAAGAATATTATTGTATTTGCAAGGTTTTTTTTTAGCAAGAAACTTGAGAGCTGAAGATCATTACTTATCTAAAGCTATGCATACCAGTTTAGAAAAATTGACTGTAAAGAGAGAACTTGACTTCGAAGAAATACCAACAGTAAAAACAATAAAAGGTTGGATAGGAAGATATAGTGCAAATTTCAAAAGAGAGGCATCAGAAAGAGTGCTGTCAGGAAATAATGATCATATTGCAGTAGTTAACAAGAGTAGTAAACATCAAAAATTATAGTTAGAATATAACTAAACATAGAAATTATGAGCAATATTACTATGAAATCTTTCTTTCCTTCATATAAAACTTTTTAACCCGCATAATAAAAAAACGTTTTATAAATATATGCTACACGGTCGAGATTTGGTCTCTTATATTAAGTGAAAATTTTATAAATTTATAATAACGAATAACTAGTTTTTATAGTAACGTTGTACACCTATTTTATTTCTTAATTATAGTTCATGCGCCTATGAAAATCTATTCTTGATATACGGATCTGCAATTAAAAAAAAATCAAATTTATAATTATAGATTTCGGACATTTCGCCAGTTTCGCCAGTTTCGGAATTATCGGATTTCAGGTATTTCTGCGGTTTCGCGTAAGTTTCGAATCTGGGTTTCGGACTTTCGGTTTCGTCAAAACTAGAGATGGGCAAATTTATTTATTCTTATGTTAAGTCCGTAAAATTTTTCCTACCTTACACAGATCAAAACAACACAGACTAATGAGCGACTTGAATCATCAAGTAAGTCGTCTCCAAAGCCCCTCAATAAATACTTTCAACAGGGTAGTTTATTGATTTAAGACAAAGAACTTTACTAATTATTATTAAAATGGTTGTTTACTGAAGCGGCGAAGGTGTTAGAAGCACATTATATTACAGAATATTTTTTGATGAATTTAGAATTTCTGATTTCGGCCAGGTAAATATTAAACTTAAAATTTTAATTTAAATGGATATTACTTGAATAAGAACATTTCATTTCTAAAATAAAAAATTTAATGCTTACGCCATCCTTTCTCTACGTCCTCGTCGCTTCAATAAAACATTATTTCTCTCTATTCTGACTTCATGATAAGGAAAATAATTCAAACAATTATTTGGAATTGGTAAAAATACCACACCAATAGCATCTGAATTTACAATTCACACTAGCACAACATGTAACATTTTTGAGGAGAGCCGTTTTAATCTATTTATGTCAAGATTTATGTATAGATGTCAACAGGAATTGGGTCATCATTTTCAAATTATTGACGAAAATTCGAATGCTATGATAAACTTATTAAGGTTGCTGAATTATGAAATTTTCCCTTTGTTTAGTCATATATTTGTTAACCTAGAACGAGTCAAGACAAGATCCATTCCTTGTATTCTATTCTCAATATGATACGTGAAAAACTTATTAAAGAGATGAAATCCCCAAAACAATCGGGGATATTTGCTGGTAAGAAAGTAACCTTTTGGTTAAATATTAATACAATATATGAAATCTGGTGTTGGTTCACGTAAATCGAATGGTGAGAAAACCGAATATTAGAGCCTATAATTTCTTATACAGTCAAGAATAGGATCAGCAAAGAGTTGATATCATTAAAGGCAATAATAAAGACAGTATTACTTCAACATCTTATAATAAAATATAATAAACTTTTAACATGAAATTCTAATTGATGTAATTTTATTATGACGTAATAAAGTACGCCTTATGACAGTTAAAAAATTAAAAAAATTATCTAGATATATTAATATGTAGATATTTAATATCCAAATTTTTCTTCGTAACCAGGAACTGTCCAACGTCCTTTTTTAACCATTTTCTCAACGATGTCATTGAGATCTGGTCTAGCTTTAACTAATTCGTCAACCTGTAAACGAATGAAATTGGTTTAGGTAAATCTTTTAGAGGAGAGAATGAGATGTAAAACTGAATTAAACATTTACACTAATATCTTTGAAAGGTCTCGTGTGTTCCATGTTAGACAAAGTAGCCTGCAAGTTCCGAAATTCGGTATCAATGCTATCGACCGTTTTTTTTTGCGTAGTCAACCTGCAATATTTAACCTTGGTGTTAATAACAAGATCTGATGGTACAGACACATAAAAGTAGCTTTATACTAACAGCTTTTTCTTCAAAAGTTTCAACAATTTTTATTTGTGCATTTAGATCAACTTTTGTCGGCTTAAAGCTGTTTAAAACTTTTTCAGCCTCGTTTACGATCGCTTTATTTTTTAAAATATTTCTATAGTGATCGAAATCAATCTCGGCTTTTTGTTGTTTAAGAGCAGAAACCACGCGTTTTGCCTCCTCATTACGCTTACGAAATGCCTGTAAAGATGCTATAGTTTCTTTCTTTAAACCTAGGGTTATGGTTAATTTTGACCAATCGATCGAGGTAGCGGCTCGAACCGAAGCCATTTTTGTGAGCAAGATTTTTTTTTTACGAAGTGAGCATTGTTACAAATTGGTTGTCGATCCTCGAAATTTCATTGGCTGCTTATAAACATATATCTTAGTATAAGTTACGAATATATTACCGGTAATGATAGAGTTTATTCAATCATTTACCCAATTTTTTAGGATTATTTTACAGTATAAGCTTAAAGCTAAAGATTATCAAAATTATTTATTTTTATAAATTTAAAGAAACGTTTACAATATTTAAAAAAAAATAATTAAAATTGTATAATAATAAATAGCTGAAGTACTTTAAAAAAACGGAAATTTAAACCGGATTAGAAAAAAAAAATAGGATTTTGATCATTCTGATTTATTATTCCAATTATTGATTCTTGAGATTGCGGATGAACGGGTTGAACCTCTACATCCGAATGTTGTCCTATCATAAAAGGTCTTTCTGATTGTTTTTTTGCTATTGATGAATATTGTTTTCTCAAAGGTTTGTCATTGTCAGCAATACATAATTCCCAATCTCGGGGAATGATAGCTTTTCTATCTATCCTCCTGCGATGTTGATATATACCTAACCATTCAGTAAATCCATCATTAAATCTTTCATCATTATGTAACCTTCCCCGATCATAATCCTGTGAAATTTTCAAAATTTGATCCCTAATAGTTTCAAGACGTATCATCATTTCTTCCGATTTTTTACAGTTTTCGGATTTTCTAATAGTGCCATCCTCAGCCTTTTCTATCTCATATTTAGCATGCCAAGCAAAGACGCGCATGGCTGGATTAATTGCAAATTTTCCTGATACAGCAAGTGCAAAAAATTCTCGATGTTTATCCAATAATATTTCAAGGGTATGAACTATGACAATGGCATGTTTCATGCAAATTGCAGAAGAATCCGAAAAGTAAGATAAATTAGATTGATCAGGTGGCTTTAGATATCGACCATGGAGAAGGATAATTATGGTACGATAGAAGATATGCATATCACCTAGAGTATAAGGATATGGTGTTATTGTACAATTTTATAAATATCAAGAAAAAGTTTCTATATTAACCTCCAACGCCATTCAACAAAGTTCCATAAGGATCTTTCATAATTTCCTCAAACTTTAACCATTGTGGTAGTGCATGGAGCCAACTTGCTAGTGCTGCATCCAATACTCGAAATTTGTTTTGGTCATCTTGCATCAAGAATCTTAATCTTGATGCATGCAAATATTTCCGCACTCTAGCGCCAATCCGACTTAGATTAATTAGATTTATGTAAGCAATTTCGAGTTGTTCATCAAATAAGTTCAAACTACTTGATATTTTAGGTACATCTATATTGCAATCAGTTTCGTCGATCATATTTGGTCGACCATATGTTGTAGATACAAAACTTGAAATGATTTTAATTATTAGTAAAATCCAATCATTGCAAAATAAAAATAAAATAAAAATAAAGTAAAAAAAAAAAATTTTTTTTTTTTGCTCACTTTTCAGATATGAAAGTCATCCAAAAGGCATCATTTCTCAATCGCTCAACATCCTCATTCATCTTGATTTTTAAATTCGGTTTTAAACTCTCATATTTGCGGTGCAACCCAAGCTCAAACAACATTTTAGTCGCTATTCCGTGATACGACCATGCAGTGCCTGCCTGATATAATAAATAAACTCTAACGTAAACTATAAGTGTTAAAATATTTATCAAAATCTATTGATTTATTACGTACCTGTTTATTATGACGACTTAAAATAATTATTGACATTACTGTAAGAACATGTGGTTGTATGCAATATTCGTAAAGTAGTTCTGAATAATGATTTAGTGAATTTAAAATTTATTAATTTATGATATTTCGCGCGCTGTAAAATAAAATTGTTAATTGTTTACCTTCTGCTCGATCAAAATAAATCTTTCCATCTTGTTTGTCCGGATCATCATGGAATGGTGATGCGACAAAAAATATACAGTTTAACAATAATAAATGCTGTGGCTTAGATAAGTTTCCTAGAGCATCCCAAATAACTTGTGCTCTCAAAACAGGAAAATATCGGTGAACGCGCTGAGAAAAAAAAAAAAATGAATGATAATCATAAATAGTTTAAAGTTCAAAAACTTCAATTAATTTACCATAAAATATAATTGAATTAGCTGTTCAACTGTTTCCGTATTTGGTAAAACTTTGAGAGAATCGTCAACTACTGACAAATCATCTGTTTCTATTGGAATTATCATTTCATTATTATCGTCGTCTAGCATCAATAATGATCCCTCTCCTACATAACGACTTGACTCAAATGGTTTTAAATTTTTGAGTGATGATGTGAGATCATTCATTACGGTATCTTCATAAGTTGGTATGTAATGAGGTACTGAAGGTATTGTTTCTGACGGATACACATCTTGTTCGGGTACCTGTTGTGCAAGTGCGGCAAAATCAGAGTGACTTATAAAATATGTTGGATCATACTGTAACATTGTCAGAAGTTAAATCAATCGACGCATTTTATCCGCGAATTGGCTGAATATGGAAACTAATTTTGAACACATACTTGACATTGTTCGGATGTTCTTTGAATGTTTGATGCGGTATTAATCGAGTTTTGAAGAACCTCAGCGGTGATTACTGAAGTACCATCCTAATGACAAAAACTTGTTTAGAATTTCTCTATTTATTGAAGACATGAATCAATTAACTTACAATGTTACTAAATGTATTATCCCCTGGCTGAACTGTAACCAATGGTCTCGCCAGCATTCCGGGAATTTGCATACTTTCAACAGCATCGACACCAGGAACACGTGTTGCCATTGCCAAAAAACCAGATTCTTCGAATAATTGACCAAATTGTACTCCCTGCAAATAATTAAGTTGGTTCTGAAGAAAAGTTGAATCTGGCTGTGATCTAAGGCCTTGTTGGTCCCTCATTGTCTCAGTTAGTTCCGCGTATTTGTAGCTACAGGGCCTTCGCGTCTTCTTGCAGGTGCCACATTCAGGACGCTCTTTATCACACCTTACCTTTCGACCTTTACAGTTATCACAGGTTGAAACCAACTTAACTCTCTTTGTGTTTGTTAAAGGGCGAAGGTAATTACTGGCCATTTTTTCAGTTTAGATCTAAAATGGCAGTCGAATTTTTTAACTTTGTTATACGAAATTGACCGCGCTTTTATTATTATAGTGATACAAGTGTACAGCATAATTTGGCATTGTGTGTGATATCTTTGCAACATAAGAAAGTCCCCTTTCAGCTAAAAAAATCACAATAAGTCTATTTTAGAAAAAAAAAAAAAAAAATTCCAAGAAGACTTCATACACGGTACCAACTCTTTTTAGTTATCGTTAGCCGTATCCTTCATCACAATTTATTGTACGACCGAATGTCCACCGCAGCACTCAATTAATAAATTAATATATTTATATAATAACAGATAACACTTCACATCAATTATACGTACGTATGGATGTTTCGTATTAAGAGAGCTCGATTAACCTCTTCCCGTTAACTAAATATTGAGAAATGAGAATGATACAATCGATGCGAAGTTAAAAAATTACTAATACTACTACAGTACTAGAGGGTTTGAGTACATTTTACGAATTTTTTAGGTTGGGCGGTTTACTTTAAAATAACAGTCACCTAGTATTACAATTTCGCTAAATCAAATTTCATGACAAAACTTTGACCCTAACAAAATAACGCTAACAGTGAAATTTTTTAAGTTGGTAACGCTATGGTCTTACACAAAACCTTGTAAATATAGCTATAGTCTGAATAATATATTTAATTCCTTTGAATTTGCCCTTTACAAAACTCGGATCGTTTTAGTGTTTTTAATCATAAATCAATATAGTTTAGAATCCTTTTACCTTGATAAAAGAAAAATAAGAATCAAGAAGTTAACAACCTAATTAGAAATAATCCAAAACAAATTAACGCCCAACACATTATTTATATATTATAATAGTTTATTAATATTGTACTAAAATATTTTAATGAAGCGAAAACCCTCAACGGATACGTAGCACATAATTTAGATACCTAAACTTATAATAAACTCACAGTAACTTTCAAAGAAAACCAAAATGACGATTTTTCTCTGGGTTAATTTTCGAGTTAAACTATTTTTTTCCAATTCCCCTATTTTCCGTAAAAATTGTCGGGAATTTTTGGGAAAATTCTTGGTAAAAGGCGGCTATTCATAAATAAAGTATTGATTTATTCAAAGAAAAAACTTATAATAGCATAAGTTATTAATTATATAAAAAAGAAACAAATTTGATCAATCTATATTGATATTATATTTCTTAATCTGTATTAGAGCAAATTTGTTCTTAATTTTATAAATCTTCAAATTGTTCAAAAAATTATTAGTAAAGTAATTTTTTTGATTTTCAAACAGACCCGACAACCTGGTTCTTTTTTCAAAATTTATATAAAATCGTATAAAAATTTTTTTAATTTTTTTTAAAAAACTTATCTAGTTATTATAATATATAAAAAAAAGCTTCAAAAGTATATTAATTTTTTTATAAACAAAACAAATATAAGAAAGAAATTACAACAGAAAAATTTTAACTATTTAATTAAATATATAATTATAAATAACTACCAAATACTATTACTAAGATTAAATACAATAAAAAAGTAGCTATTTGTACTTCAATTATTTTTTTAACCTTGTTGCTAATTAAGTTAGTAACTACTAAAACTAATAACAAAGACAAAAGAAAGATTATAATTAGCTCTTAAACAAAAAAAAATAAAGCTAATATATCTTCATATAGAGAGTTATAACAATATGAAAAAGTTAGCAACTAAAAAATATAAAGTTGATAATGATAATAATAATTCAGTTTTTATTTTATATCTTGAGTGATCTTGTCCATCATTTATTAAAAGAAAGCTTACAATAAGCAAAAAACAATCTAATATATAAAACTATACTAATCTGTTCTCTCTAGACTAATTAGAACTAA